TCCAAAGCAATTAAAGTTTGACTTAGATTTAACAAAATTTATATGCAAGCTTGGTCTACCTTTTGAAATTTTAGACAATGAAGGAGCACAAGAGACAAAATTACAAAATTTACTGTAAAATCTACATCAACATTTAGACGTCAAAAACTTCCTATGTTGTATGAAAAGGTAAAGGTGGGGTTGCAAATAAAAATTTTCAAAGATTTTCTAGAAGTAACTGGAGTTAGTTTTACAACAGATCTCTGGACAAGTCGAAACAACGATTCTTACATGTGTCTTACAACTCACTACATTAGTTCAGACTTTAATTTAGAAAGCTTTTTAATTGCTTGCGCACCATTTACTGGTAGACACACTGGGGTTGCTATTGCAGTAAACCTGGACACTTTTATTGCTAATTTAAACTTAAATGAAGAAGTTCATAGAGCTTGCGTTAATGACAACAGCAGCAACATTGTTTTAGCTGCTAAAGAAAGTGATGAAATTAATTCAGAATTGTGCTGCAATGATTACACAATCCAGCAAGTTATTCTAAAAGCAATCAAAAATTCAATTGAACTTTCTAAAGCAATAAAAAACTGTACAGATTTAGCATCACACACACATAGAAGTGTGTTCTCTACAACCAAGCTTCAAAATGCTTGTGAAGAACTTGGAATAAATCCCAGGAAATTGATTGTTCCATGTACAACACGATGTAATTCTGAATACATATGCATAAAGTCAATCCTTGAAGTCAAAGATGCAATCAGAACTCTTGCAAAAACCAATGATGAGTTTGAAAGGTCATGTCCCTCAGATGATCAATAGAAGACATTAAAATACAGCATTCCATTTCTTGAAAAAATTTACAATATTTCAGTAATCTTATCAGCCGATAAAAGACCAACAATCCAAGATGTGATACCTGAATTATATTCCTTGCACCAAGAACTTCTTTCCCATCAACATCACAAACACAAGCCAACAAGAACATTTATAAAAATGCTGATTTGTGAACTGCAGAAAAGATATCCTCTTTATGGTGCTGAGCAGCTGATTAATTATTTTGCAAATTTTTTATCGAAATCGAAAAAATCAAAAAAAACCAAACCAATAAAAACCTTAACCGCGTGGCCTTAATAATTTGTTTGTATTACCATTAAAAAAATTAATTTCTTTATCCCAGTTTATCTGTAAGAAATCGTTTTTAAATTGATTACTATCAAGTTTCTTGAAATTTCAAAGGAAAATAAAATGCTTTTACGAAAATAATTTTTTTTGCTTTTAAAAAATGGATAAATTAGAAACTGTGGCAAATGATCCGATATTCTAATAATTAGATTGCAGGAGAAAATCTCGTTAGAAATTGAGTTAGAAAATATATTATCAATTAAAGTTCTTGAGTAATTTGTAATTCTTGTCGGTAAGGATATAAAAAGAAGAAAGTTGTTAGAGGCAATGGTGTTTAAATACTCTGCAATGGAACTATCTGAGTTTGCTATAATAAGATCTATATTAAAGTCACCCATTAAAAAGATAGTTTTATTCTTCTCAAGGGAAAGTTTTTCAAATAAAATAACTAAATATGAAAAATTAAATTCATCAATATCCATGTTAGGATGGCGATAGATACATCCTACTATAATATTAGACTTTTTAGGGAAGATGATTTCAACAAACACTGACTCTAGAAATCGAGGTTTATACATAAGTAAATCATTTAATAAGTATAAATTAAAGAAATATAAATTAAAGCTCCTCCAAATGATGTTTCGGTTGGAGTATGTTCATAAACATATCCATTAAGATTTATAGGAACTGTCGGTAGTAAATCATATTTCAGCTTGGATTCTGTTATTTCGATAACGCTGAATTCATAACTAATTATATAAAGAAGTAAATTTAATTCATCAAAATGTTTAACTAATAAAGCAATGTTCAAATGAAGTAGAGAAAAACAATTATTTGTGGTTTTTGAAGAGTTAAAATTTTTAATATCTTTATATTTACAATTAATTGGATTGTCAACTACGTTCATATCGTCATCGTCGATATTATTTAGTTGATAAGAGAAAAAGTTATTAAGTTGATTAAAAATATTAGATTCTAGAGAGGTAGGAAAGAGTGAAAGGTCATTTCGGAGTTCATTGAGATGTAGTATACTATCAATTGACGATTGAAGGCGAAGCTCATTATCCGATATAGAACAAAAAGGAAAGATACTAATGTGGCATGTTATGCAACATTAGTATCAAAGCCAAAAATTGATGGAAGAGTTTATTGATGGTCTAAAATCAATTTTATCCAGGGAACATTTATTATGGAATGAATTTAAACAGTGTTTACATTAAAACGAAAGATGATTAGCACGAATATGTTTATTACAAATTTTACAAAGTTGAGACATTGTAATAGAAATTAGTTTATAAAGTAAGCTATAGATATAAATAAGATTATTAGTAACTTAAACAACAATAAAATAGCAGTAGAGAGTATACTAAAATATAAAAATGACGATAATTAAGATAATAATATTGGCAATACGAATACTAATAAATACTAATAATAAAATAATGAATACAAGAATAATAATAATCACGACAATAATAACAATAGTGACAGCAATACAAATAGCAGCAGTAGCATTATGTAATAAAAATAAAAATATGAATACTGTAATTATAATCAACGCTCAATAATAAAAAGTAAGATAATAAAACTAATAATAAAATAAATTATAATATGTATAAGTAAAAAATATATAAATAAAAAAAAGAAAAGGAAACGAATAAGCTAAAAAAGAAAAAAAAGAAAAAAAAAGTTAAAATTAACACTAAGATTGAATGTTGGAACAGTTGAATTTAAATTAGTCTCACAAAAAAGGTATTCAGTCAGGTAAATTTTGCAATAGGCAAGACTTAATAGATAAAAAGTTACTTTGAAGATCACAAATCTTTTTAAAAGATAGATATAAACATTTTGGGGTTAAAGTTTTTTTTTAATGTTAAAAAAAAAAGCATCAGGTGTTATGTTTATGTTTTAAATTAATATAGAACTTGACTCAATCGGAAATAGTTCATGACACTTTTAGCAATATATTAAACAATTGCACATCAAAAACACTGTTAATACATTCTACAGCAATCGATGGAGTCTGAGAGCCACAGAGTTCTGGAAATCTTATAACCAGCCAGCCTCAGAACCATTAAACAGCTTTAAAATGAATTTTAGTTTTTTTTAGGAGGTAGTAGAGTTGCAGGGTTCATCGCCCTAGGCATGAAACAATATAACACAGATTTATGTTTATGCCAGCCTTTTAAATAAAGATGAACATGAAGCTAATTATCAGAAATTTTCCGCTTACTCTGAAACTTTTTGAGGCCTTTTACAAGACAATAGCTGGATGCAGGTAATATATGTCTAAGATAATTAATTTAATTAGGACACCACCTCTAGCCTTTATTTAATCAAGAGTTCAAAGTAATGTTTAGCTTTTACAGTAAAAATGGTAAAACAGTAACTCAAAAAAACATCCCTGTAACTTAGATTTGTTACCTGAATTATGGTTTAGTTTTCCAGTTAAAAACAAAATAAGGTTAAAAACAGTAAAAAGCAATAACACTATTAACGCTAAATTTTTGTTTTGGCCACAACACTTTCAGAAGCTTTGAACTTAGAAGTTTATTAAGAAGTAACAATAAATGCACAAATCTAGAAAAAAGCAACAGTAAGTTCAGAAATCTAGAAATAACAATAATGAAGTAACATTATTATAATTGATAAATAACATAACGGTAACATGCAGTAGTATATATAGTGGTATATATCTTGCTTTATAAACAAGAAGTTCAGAGTTGGCTCTCTACTATGTTCCTGGTAGTACTGTGCTTAATTTGTTTTTTCATGCAGCGGCCTTGTTTACCAAGATTTGTGTTTTGGAGTTATAAAGTTGAGAGAGGGTTGTAACCACAACTAAAGTAGCGTACTCGACTGTAGTGGCCTTTATGGCCTTGGGGAGATGAATTGAAATAAAAATAAAATAAAAAAAGTCAAGGAAGACATGACTAAAAGGTTTGAAACCTAAAAAGTATCTACAATTTAGCAGTTCAATTCATTGACAATCTTATCTAAAATATCAAAATGTGAAACTATTTATTACAGTATTTAACAGAAAGATGTTTTAAATAAAATGGCTTTATTAATACACAACTTCCACTATTTATGTTAAAATCTATTTATAATAAATAATATATTTAAAATAGATAAGCATAAAAAAAACCTACATTTAATTTTAATTGACCTTACAAAAATCTGTGAGCTGTTGTGTAACATTTACAATTTTGAGAATTATCCAAATTTACTTTCAAAATAAGCTATTGATTTTCCATCATTATAAATTGTTCATCTAAGCAAGCTATCATTTTAACTTTGATTTTTAATCACAAAACATAGTTTCTGCAAATAAACCCTAACAGCATTTGTTTTTAAAAGTTACATCCTAAATGTCTTCTAAACGCTTTTTAAATGTCTTTCAAACGTTCTTTACATAAGAATGTTTAGAAGACATTTAAAATACATTTAGAACGTAACTTATAAAAACAAATGCCCGATGGGAAGTTATTTTATTCCACAAAGAACAAATTTTATTCCATCTTGAAAACTGGTTGTCTTACTAGCAGCAGCATCATCACTTTTTTTTTTAATTAACTCCACAGTCTACTTTACTGTCAATGGAAGTTGTTATTACATTGTTTTATTGTTTCATTATCAATAATACCTTGTTTGAAAATATGGTGAATCTTAATCTACCATATATTCAAACAAGGTATTATTGATAATGAAACAACAAAATTTTATCTTCTATTAGACTTAAAAACATCCTTCATTAAATAAAAATTTTATATTCTATTAAGTTTAGGAACATCAAATAAACAACAACAATAAAAAAACATCAAAAATAAAAATTTGTAAATAGTTGTTTTTAAATTTTAAAAACATTTTTAAATGTATATTTTTAGACCAACATAACATCCATAGCAACAAAAACTTATCATTCCAGTGTTTGAGCAGTTTGGATTTATCAAACAATCAAATTTGTTATGAAAGTTCATTGCTACCAGCAACATATTGGCCGAATTTGACAATACTAATATTATGGGGAAATCCAATAATTGATACTCGAAGAGCTGATGCTTCAATTCTTGATGAAAACTTTGAGAAGTTGTTTGACATCAAAGTTATAAGGTTTTGTAAAACATTTTTATTAGTTATTATTTACAAATTATAACTGTTACATTTATAATGAGTTCTTTATAGTTTAAGTATAACACATATATCAGCTTATTTATAAATTAGTGTGAACACTAACAAAACAGCAAATTAATAAAAAAAACTTAGTTGTCTGATGGGTCTGGGTTTGTTTCATAAAACTAATAATATTTTTGTATATTGGGGTTGCATTACCAGTAATAAGCCATTTACTAATTTTAAAAAATTTCTGCATGCACAAGTCACATAAGCTAGCTAATGCAATTAGAAAAATAAAATGTTTGCATTTTAAAAAATATTGTAGGAAATTTATTATTTTCAAGGAGACTTTTATTATTTCAATCACCTTTATTATCTAAATGCGAATAAATATAAACTATATATATACATTCACAAATAGTATTCCCTAGTGGCTTAAAAGATGTGATTCTCAACACACATATAAAGTTATAAAATAATAAATCCTAACCCTAATGATCTAGAAGTCGTGATTCACTGCACGTGCATAAAATTATTGTTGCAATGTCAGCTATAACCAATATCTAGTTTTAAGCTTTTTGTTCTACAGGCGTACTAGCTGTACTTGTTAACTGCTATAGCAGAAAGATTCTATCATGTATTAGGTGGAGGCAATATAGTAAGAACTATTGTTCTTGACATATCAAAAGCTAATGACAATGTCTGCCATGCTGGTCTTGTCCATAATCTGTGTTGTGTCTGAGAAGCTTTTAAGATTTTAAAATCATTCCATTCTAACCACAGCATTAAAGTTGTCTTTAAAAGTCAACATTTTTTATTCATTTCCAGTATCTTCTTGGATACCACAAGGTTCCATCTTTGGTCCTGTGTTGTTTTACATCTATATTAGTGATCTTCCTGACAATCTTGCATTTAATGTGGCTCTATCTGCTGGCAACACAGCTGTATACTTTAGTCTCTACAAAAAGTGTAGAGACTAAAGTATACAGCTGTGTTGCCAGCAATCAAAATACAATACCAGCAGTGTATTGTATTTTGATTGCTTAAAACAGGCATCTTAAATGTAATCTCTCTTCTGTGACAACTTGTTGCTTGCAGTAGCAACTTTGACCTAAGCAAACTCAGTTATTGCTCGTCTTTATTTTGCTTAATATTTTCTTACACTACTATTCTCGATTCCATTCAATTTTAGCTGGCTCTTCTAATGAAGCTCTTTCTATTTTGCTTGTCATTTTCTTACTCTACTATTCTTGTTGGTTCCATTCAATTTTATTTGGCTCTTCTAATGATGCCCTTTCTATTTTCGCTAAGGATCAAAAACATATTGTAAATGTAGTTAGAACTCTGCTATCTGTAAGCTTAAGCTCCTGTCTCATTGTTCCATCTCTTCAATGATAACTGTTTAAACAACCTATCATCTTTTTTTCCCTCAACCTAAACTCAATATTACATGACTTGTCATACAGCAAAGCTGTTTCATTTTATTATATCTGTCCTTTATGCTCTTAAAACTTTTATTCATCTAGTTTTTTTTCTTGCACATAAACATTTTGGAACTCTCTCCTGCCTTCATTTTTTTGTGGCTCATAAAATTTATTGCTTTTTTTCAAAAGACTGCTAGCAAACACTATTTGTTGGGAGTTACTAGGAAACACTATTTGCTGGGAGTTACAAGGAAACACTATTTGTTGGGAGTTACTAGGAAACAAAGTTTCCCAACAAATAGTGTTTGCTTGCAGTCTTGCTGGGATTAAATTATGTTAAATGAAATGAAATTTTAATTTTTTTAACTATTCTTTTATGTAGTTTTGTTTATTTCCACTTCTTTATTGTTCAGCTTTTTTCCAAAATTTGTTTTCAGATTGTTTTTTGTTTACATTATTATTATTTTCTCTTTTGTCTATATTACTTTATTTTCCTGAGAATCTTACTTTTTATTTACTTTCCTGGCAATTAAACTTATATAACTTATATAAACTTACATAAAATGGCTTTGTTTGCTGGTGATACGATCATATTTAAAATCTTGTTAAAAATTTTTCTGAACTTTTAATCGCTTAAAGCAAAAAAACACAAAATTTTTCTTAAAACTTAACTTTTTAACAAAAAATAAAATGTAAGTTTAGACTGTATTTTAATGTGTTGCATATACTGTATTTAGAGGTGTAGCCTGAAATCAAAATAAATTTACAGCTTTAAATTTTTTGGTATTAAAAATTTATTTAAAATAAATTTTTAATACCATAAATGTCACTCAAGATTTCTAATTCTACAATTTGATATTCTGGTTTGATAGTCTATATTGTTGATTTATTTTCCTACTACTTTTGTGTTTAGTTTTTATTCTTTCAGTTTCATTTTCATAAGTATTTTTAAAGAATCAGATAATTTTTTTAACATTCAATTTTTATTTTATGAATTATTATTTTCAACCCTTTCTCTTCAAATTTTACCAATTAAACTTTATATTTTTTTCAAGAAAATCTGTATTTTGTAGTTGTTTAGATTTTAAAAACTTTATTAGAAGTAGACCGTGACAAGTGATAAATATGTTTTAGTAACTAATCATATAATTTTAATTTTAATTTTACTTAGACAAAAACCAAGCCATCATTTTCTAAGGAACTTCAATTTGTCAGCAAAAAAGATTTTGAATATTGGGAAAATCATAAATAAACCTATCCCTTCAATAAAGTATAATAACTTGCAACTTCTCGAGTCCAGTACTTCTAATTTCAAAAATAAGTTATTTAATGAGAATCAGAAAAAAAATTTGAGTTCATTCAATGAAGAGGCTGTTCCTTCATTTAACAATAACTTAGAAGAGTTGAATGATTATTCCATAGCAAAACCCAAAAATGTTTTTTTAACTCAAGTAAGATCTAAAATTATTTTCTTTACATTTATCATAAGTTTTTGTAATATGAGTTTTATCATAGGCTTTTGTCATATGACTTTTAGCATAGGCTTTTGTTATATGACTCTTAGCATATCACTTTTATCATTTTACTTTGCTCATAAATTTTATTTTTATTGGTTTTAACATTTGATATTTGATATTTCTTCAGCTTAATGAAGAATCTGAGTTTAGTATGCCAAATCATTATCCTATTGAAGAGGATGATTTTGAAGAAACTGAACTGTTTAGTAATTGAGTTTAATTTTTTTACTTTTAATTGTTTAACTAGCTTAGTAGTATTCAGCCTAGTAGTAAAGTTATTTTGTTTATCATTTCTTATATATATGTATATATATATATATATATATATATATATATATATATATATATATATATATATATATATATATATATATATATATATATATATATACACACACACATAAATGCGTGTTTAGTTAGATAACATGTCTGGCGTCACACTGAAATAGCTTGCTGCTGAGGGCTTTAGTACATATATTGGTTATTTTATAGCCTGTTGCCACAAAGAAGGGCAACTACAGTTAAGGAAGCTACTCTTTTTCCTTTTTTTTTTTTTTTTTGCAACTTTTCTCAATCAAATTCATGCAATATCAGAATGTTTTTCAAAGAAACAACTTTTGATACTTTTTCCCAAATTAATTAGTTCCTGTTTTTAGACAATTTTTTAGAATTTTTCATAAAATATGTAGGCAGTTTTAGAGAATGAAAGACTAATGTCAAAAATCTTCCAAACAAAAAACAAGTAATGTTTAAAAGTTATGTTGTAAAACCTTTCAAAGAATAAAAAAATTAGATCTAAAAAATATAAAATATTTTCATTGTTAAGGTTCATAATTTCATTGTTGTTGTTCATAATTTTAGCTATTAAAATGATGCAAGTAAACTGATAATGCTATGCAAGCTTTTAAAAGAGGTTTTTCATTTCCATAAAGTTGAGTATAAACATGTGCATAGTATATAAACATGTGCATAGTATATAAACATGTGCATATATATAAACATGTGCATAGTATATAAACATGTGCATAGTATATAAACATGTGCATAGTATATAAACATGTGCATAGTATATAAACATGTGCATAGTATATAAACATGTGCATAGTATATAAACATGTGCATAGTATATAAACATGTGCATAGTATATAAACATGTGCATAGTATATAAACAATCCAAAATACTAATAACTTAACGAATTTCAGTTGTTTTGCATTTTTTAAGAGTTTTTACTCCACTCTATATTCGAAACAGAAATAAAGTTTTAATAAAAATTACTTCTATAATATTATATATATATATATATATATATATATATATATATATATATATATATATATAAATATATATATATATATATATATATATATATATATATATATATATATATATATATATATATATATATATATATTAATATAAAATATACTTTTTAAAGCATTGTATTAATTCTAAGAGTATTATTATGAGTACTGATTGCTTATAATGATTTTAAAACTATGTAGAGAATTTTCGCAGCTATTTTCTTTTACCTAGATTCCTTCAATTGTGCGTTTTTTTTTTTACAATTCTTCTGAAGTTATAAATATAAGGTTTAAAAGATTGATAGAAAAACAGTTACTACTTTGATTTTATGTAGAAAAACTCTCATTAGGTTGGATTATATAGTCAAAGAATGTTCACTGGGTTTATTTGTGTTTGGACAATACTTAAATCTTAAGTGTATAGATGTCATAAAGATAAAATTAACCATTGAGTATGTTTCAGTAGATCCAATGCTTTTTATTGTATACAAACATGAAAAAAACCATTGTGATTAATTATTTTTTTTTTTATATTTTTATTATCTCATTTAAAATATATACTTATTAAATTAAATTTTGAATTGTGAAAACAAGTTTACTCCCCTTTACATTACACAGGCCAACATCAACAAAATTTTTTCTGGTGCTGAGCAAACAATTAGTATTTTTTATAGCATTTCTCATTTTGATTTCAAATATGCAACTCATTTTTCACCATCCTGTCGAGTTGTAAAAATATTTGGGTTCAAATCTTTAGTATTTGGGGTAAAGTCCCTAATATTTTTTTCTTAAAACTTATTGACAAAAAAATTGTGTAAAAAATGCTAAAGACTCTTAAAAAAATTTTAAGAGTCTTTAGCATTTTGACATTTTTGAAATCTCTAAGAAAATATGCTTCTTTTGAGACCCAGGTTGACATACTTTTGAATAACTTTTTTTTCGACAATATTAGGGAATTTACCCCAAATACTAAAGATTTGAACCCAAATATCTTTACAAATTGGCGTAATGATGAAAATAAGTTGCATATTTGAAATCAAAATGAGAAATACTATTAAAAAAAAAACAAATTGTTTGTTCGGCACCAGAAAAATTTTATTTTTTTTGTTGGCCTGTGTTATTAATAGTTGTGCTTACATTACTTGGGAACAGGTAATGTAGTCCATTGATTAATAATTCTAACACTTCTGAATAAGCATGTGGCAATTGTTACAATTTCTAATGTAAATCAAAAATATCAAGAACCTTTCCTTCAGTCTGACAACTCATCTTCTGCAATAAAAATAGAATTCTTTTAAACACTGTATTCAATGATCATTTAATTCAATCAGTACTGTTGCAACTATTGTCTTCTTTTTCTTGTCTGCTTGTAGATTATCCATTCTATTGGTGTTATTTTTTCACTAGGAAATCATCAGCTTTTTTCCTTGTGAAATTTTTCAAAAAATTTTTCATTTCTTTGCTTAGCTTTTTTATTCTTTTTTACTTTAGATGGTTTTACCAAATATTTTTTAAGTATCGCTTTCAAACGTTAATTTTTTACATATGCTTTTTTTTCAAATGGCCCTTTGGCAGTCGCAGGATAAACAAAGTTTTATGTTGTACTTTAGCATTTATCTTTTTGCAATCAACATATGTTTTGTTACATGGAACAATATTTGATTACAAAAGGCAGACATTTTTAAATTTTATCCATTTTAGTTTAAAAATTAGTCATCCAAGAAAACAAATTTTTCTGGATTTTGATGTTTGTGATTTTTTTATATATTGTAACTATAAAAATTTTTATTTTTTACAGTTGCAATAGGGTTTTTAACTTTCAATCAATTTATTATTAAGTAAAAACAGTGTATGTATATAAATATTATTTTTATGTATGCATGTGTATAATGTATATATGTATGCAAAGCATCATTTACTTTAGTTAAAAGACTACCACTGGGTGCATCTATAAAGAGATTAAAAGCCATTCTCGATAAGCAAAAGTTTCTTTCTTTTTCAAAGGTAAATGTAATCCACTTCCGTAAGTTACAAGTAATGACATAATTTTGTAAAATGTGAGGGCTTCCTATTTTTTAAAACTATAAATGTTTGGTTAAACTTCATTAATGCTTTGCATAACATTTAAATTTTTGCTATAGAATAAGAAAAAATCTACCACGGACAAACAAATGATGCTAAATAAAGCTTTAGAAGACATGCGAGTACAAAAAATTTACATTAAAGAAAATTTAGGTAAGTTTGGTCAAAAAATTTAGGTAAGTGTGGTCAAAAAATTTAGGTAAGTGTGGTCAAAAATTTAAGTAAGTGTGTTAAAAAAATTTAGGTAAGTGTGGTTAAAAAATTTAGGTTAGTGTGTTAAAAAAATTTAGGTAAGTGTGGTAAAAAAATTTAGATAGGTGCAATAAAAAATGATACGAGGATGAAAACTATCTTATACCAAAAAAATAAATTTTTAAGTTAATAGTTTTGAATATAAGCTAATGATTTCAATAGTTTTCAAAAACAAACAATCATGAAACAAATTTGTAAATGAAAATTTATCTGCTGGTGTAAAAATGCATTACTTACAGGGGCGGATCTAGGATTTTATATAGGTGTAGCTAAAATTTGTAAAATTACGTCATAATTGCAACTATTTAATTAGTCGGTTAGTCTACGTCAAAAAGACGTCCGATAATTACGTCATGTAGACGCCGCCAGACAGTTTTTTTTATCTGAGCGTCTTTAATTCACTTTTTGGACATGTATTTTTCATTTATTTTTAATGAATTCTAGTAAAATAATTAATGATAAAATTTTTAATATTTGCCTTGGCTATTCTGTTCGTAATTTAGACATAATGTCTAACTTACTTAACGAAGTGCACCAACTAGAAGGTAAGCCATAGGACTTTGCACTCCATATGTAAATTGTAACGCTGCCTTAAGTTAGCTCTCCAATTCTGGATTCTTTCCTTTATATTTTTGTTACTAATAGAATAAATGCAACTATTACTGCATTAACAATATGATATCGTGATTTATTCAAAAGATATTTACTTTAAAGTTGTATACTACTATATATAAATATATATTTAAAAAAAAAAAGATTTGAACATATCTATAGAATCCTCAGGAAGCTAATTTATTACATCTTTGTTTTTTATGAATACCGAGCACTCCTTTTATAGCATACTCTAACTAAATTAACACACATTTAAATTTTTTAATTTAGTGGTTTACATTATTTAGTTAAGAACAATTTTTAAAATATTTAACATTTTAGATGCCAAGGATTATGAAATGTACACAAAATAGAAAATAAATTCATTTATTAAACATTTATAACAAATAAAAAATAAGATGCTAAAACAAAAAAAATGATTGTAAATATAAGAGATTTTTTAAGATATAAGAGATAATTTATTCACACATAAATATAATTATTATTTAATCATAGCCAATTATTTAAGGCTTAAAAGATCTCTCTCCAGAAGCTGAAAACTTTTTGTCAACCATGTCTTTATCAAGAACCATTTCAATATAAATTGACATTAAAGCTAGGTCATTGAATGACTTTTATAACACTCTACTTTTTTTAAAAAAACTTTTTTAAAGTTTTTAATCTCTTGGGACCTAGATTTAAATCTTTAAAATATTCAAGAATGTTGGGGGGGAAGGGGAAACCAGTCATTGTCATGACTTTTGTTTAAAAAATACTAGATGATGGTTTTGACTGATCTTTCTAAAGAGGCTTCCATAATCCAACTCTACATGAATAAAGGTTGAATGCAGAGTTGGAATGATAGATATCTAGAAATTCATAAAAGTAGATTTGCAAATCTTAGTTTTTAGGTAACTTAACATAACAGTTGGAACTGCAAACATCCCATATAAACCAACTTGTTTTCTGTTTGAAATCTTATATAATTAATAAGCTCATTAATAAGATGATCCATCAAAGGTAAAGTGATAGAAAGCTTAAAATAATCAGATGATGAATGATTATCATGTTTAATTTGCTTTCTACATTTTCTAGTTTTTTGTTTTCTTTTACATTTAAAGTCATAGCTTATTCAAAAGCAATATTAGACCAGTTGTAGCGATATAAATCAATACCAAATTTAATCTCTTGAAGCATGTTTAATTGTCAATTTCAAGATTCTGAAATTTGAGACATGTCATATTGCTTATCTTGGAGTCTAATTACAATCTAAACAAGTCAACCCATTAAATTTTGGTTAAAACTAAAGTTACATTGAAATAAAATTCAAACATCAACTATGCAGAGACTTTAGCAAAAAAAATGTCTAGATTTATCTGTTTTTGAACCCAACAAGCAAAACAGACATTGATTAGCTTTGATTTACCAACAGAAAGATAATTATTTAAACATGCCTTTAATTTTTGACTAACAGCACATTTAAATAATTAAGGACAGTTAACACACTTTAAGAAATCTTTACGAGTATTATAGTTATTGCCTACATATCTTATAACGGTAGACTACTATTTAAGATTGACACAATCAGATGCTTTATCAGCTAAAATTGAATAGTATTTACTATTATTGATTTCAGAAATAAGAATCTTCTCAAATGCCTCACTACAACACTCCATAAGTTGATTTTGTATGGTTTAAGAAATAACGTGATATTTTTTAATGTGATATTTTTATTTATAGTGTCACCTGCATAAATTCCAAAATTAAGAAGTTCGAAAATATTTCCTTCAACTCTTTCTTGAGGACTCACTTATTTTAAAGTTTTCAATATTGTATTATATTTGATTTTAATTAATAATAGAATCAAATTATAAGATCCTCTTTAATTAAAGCTTCAATTTGAAGATTAAAATTTTTTTGAAGGAATAAAAATGTAATATTTTAATTATTTACATTTATATAAATGTAAATATAATTATAGCAAAAAACAATAAAAATTGTTTATATAGCTCTGTAGCAAAACTATTATTTATAGTATTAAACTGTTTAATAAAATAATAATGTTTTAGTTAAATGTTATAAGAATTTTAAAACAATAAGCACAGAAACAGTTGTATTTAAGTAAACTAGTTACAGTTATAAAAAGCTAGTTATTTTTATTACAAATATAGTCCGTGAAAATATAGTTAAAAATATACCTTAAAGCTACAAAAGTTTTGTCAAAACCTTGATCCATTTTAAAATATGACATAAAAACATTTATATCAGGGAATTTTCAAACCAAAAGTTTAACTACGAAATTAAACTAGTGAGATATTCAAACCATTTCGTTTTGTAAACAATTTTTTTTTGCAACATTTAATGTTATGAATGCGAATCAATAGCATTTGGAACAGTTTTTTTTCTAAACATATCCGCCATAATTACCAACTTACTAAGAAAATAATAAAGGCGCTTTGCTTATTTGAAAATAGCTGGACTGGGAAATAAGTACAGCCACAAGGCAAAAAGCAATCTAGCCACGGGCTACGAGTGTTGACGGCATACGACTATTAAATAAAAATATATTACATCAAAAAAAACAATAATTTAGTCAGCTTATGCCGTAAAATCAGGTCGTTTGTGGCTTAGCCACAAACCGCTATGCAATTACCGATTTTTTTTTTAATTCCGGTTTTTTTTTGTTTTTAGTAATCGCTTTAAAAAGCCGAATTTACACAGCAAATAAAAATAAACTTATCTTAATTATTTATATTATTTTTATTTAAAAAATATGTTGGAGTATTACATTGTTTTTTATTTCATTGATTATTTTAAGGTGTAGCCTTAGCCACAACGGCTATACCCTAGATCCGCACCTGACTTACAAACATAAGTTTGCTTTTTTAATTTTTTATTCGCAGAAAATGTTTGTTTTTTTGTAAATATTTTGCAATTAAAGAAATATAGTAACTTTATTATTTTCATTGTCAATGATGCTTTCTCAAATAAAGATTAAAAAATTGATTAATAAAATGATTAAATTATTTGAATTATGCAAATTTTTGATCTGAAATAATTATTGAAGTAGTTACAATGTTTAAATTTAATTATACGATTTATTAATTCTAAAATTCCCGACGGGCATTTGTTTTTAAAAGTTACGTTCTAAATGTGTTTTAAACGTCTTTTAAACGTCTTTTAAACATTTAAAAGACGATTTAAAGACATTTAAAATACATTTTGATCGTAACTTTGCCCGTCGGGTTATTAAATTCACAGTTTTACAAATATAAATTTTTTTTCAGCAACTGTACTTGAACAGCAAAAAAAATCATCAAAGTTTCACTATAAAGAAGTTAAAGAACTAGCGAAATCTGTAAGTACATAGCAGAGTTATAATTTCTTGTATGAAAATGTTGCTTAATTATTGTGCGAATAATGATTTATGAAAGTTAAAAGAAAATGCAAAATAAAAGAGAAATTAACTTAACAAAGGATTTACTTTTTACTTGTTATGTAAAAATATAAATATTTAAATACTTTTCTCATAATCATGGTAAATTTTTTTAAAGTAAAAGATAAATTTTTGTCAGAAATTTTACAAAATTATAATAAAACTTTTCAAATTCACTACACAACGTAGATTTCCACTTTTAGGAAATTTTCTGCGGTACGGAAAGGAAAAAAAAAATCATCCAATTATGTAACAAAAAAATTTAAAATGCGCAATTTTTATGTTGCAAGATTTGATAATTTTCTTTTCCGTTTTGTTCCGCGAAAAATTTCTCGTAAATGGAAATCCTCCTTTATTTTCTATATAGATGCAACACAAATATGACGAAGTTCGGAAAGAGTTATTGAAACCAATTCTTTTGTCATACGAAAATGAAGTCTAAAAAAATGCCACGTTTCTATTGTAAATCTCATGCGGATTACTTGATATTATCAAAAATCTTTTAACAATTAATTTACAACTAGTTTTTTTTTTTATTTATTTTTCAAATAACTATTATTATTATTTATACTTATATTTATTTTGGTATAAATTTTTTAATGTAACTGTGTAAAAAATTGTGTTTACGTATTTGTATTTATTTTGTTTGAAACACAATTTTGTTAGATTTTGTTCTACATCTATGTTATTAGAACATGAGTTTTTTTATGATGTTTAAATATTTGTAAATAATGTTTAAATATTTATAAATGTTACGTTATTCTAAATTAATCCTTAAGCTATAAAACATCCATGGAATACATTCTGGTTGTTAGTTTTAGTTTTTTTTAAAGAAGGTTCTCAGCGAAAACGCAAATATTTCTATGGTGCCAAAAATGTATTCTAAAAAGTTTTTAAAATTCAAGGCTGCTCCATCTGTCTAACTCTTTTTTTACTTTTTTTTTAAATAGTTTTATGTTACGCCATAGTAAATCCAAAATGTTCAGTATCTTTTACTTAATAGAATTTGTCAGAAATTTGTTAAATTGTTCGGAAAGCATATTTATTTTTATCAGTTTTATATCACTTCAAAATATTAGTTTTAAGGAAAAGAAGTTATTTATAGTAAAACTACGTTCTATTTTTTTTTTTTAGCTTAGTAACATTTTAATGTTTAATACTTTTATTTTACTATTATTTTGTGAGATTATGAATTTCGTGTGTTTATGAATCAATAAAATTTGCACATCAACAATTAGGAAGTTTTAAACAACCATCAGGAGTTGACATAACATGAACGAGGGTTAAAAAACTTTAAATTTTGTTCTTGTTTAAATAATCGTTTGTTCTTAATTAAATAATCGCTTGTTCTTAATTAAATAATCGCTTGTTCTTAATTAAATAATCGTTTTAACAAATATATAATTTAGGACAATTTTGGTTAATGCTATGTTGACATAATTTCTTTTATGCAGTGTCAATTCTTTGAGCAATTTCTTGATGAGGAGAAATTAAGAAGTAGAGCTTGAAGAAATAATAATTTAAAAAAATTCTTCAAGACGATCCAATTCAAAAATAAACAGTTATGAACTTATTTTAACAGCTTTTAAACGCACTAATCTATTCAGTATTGTTAAAGAGACCAGGTAAGCAAGGCAACATTTTGACAGGTAATTGATAAAAAGTTAAGTACGGTACTTTCAGAAACGAAGTATCGATTGCAATCCTGGGATCTAGTGCTTTTTTAAAGTCTTGAAATTCTGGGGTTGTCAAATATCAATCCTAAGATTTAATGTAAGGTCAAAAAAAGCAAAGCATAACAAAAAATTACATAAAAATAACAAATGTGTATCAATAAAATAACTTTTATAAATAAGTTAAGGAAGAAATAATTGCAGTCCCTTCTTCATTTAAGTAGCAAAACTAGCTACAGCTCTGAAACTTTCAGCGCTTGTATAGTTCTGGTGAGCTTCAATGTTATAATTGCTTCCAGGGGCAAAGACCCGGGAAAGGGTCGTATTGCAAGTCCCTGCTTTTTTGCTAAAAAATTTTGCATTTTTTTACTGCTCTGCAAAATAGCTAAAGCTTTAAAACTTTCAGCAGTTGTCTCAATAACGTTGGGATGTTGAAAATTAAAAGATTTTCAGGTTCAACGATACAAGGGGCAACAAATGCACTTCCCACCCTGACTTTTTTTTTTATATAAAGGAAAACATTTTAGAAAAAATCATTTAAAAGATTGTCTTTAAAATTTTTTTAAATTTACTTGTTGTTATTGAGGTAATAAAAGCGAAAGCGCATTTAACAGAGCACCTCAAATTAAAAAAAATTGAAACTGATTAAACATAAAATTATTCTGTTTGAAAACATGTGAGAGCTATTTTTAGGCATTTTATTATATAATTAAGTTTTAGCATTCATCACTTAAGTTAGGTCTTTTTTTGATTTCAACAAAGGCATTGTTTTCTGATTACGCAATTACATTCGTATGTTAACGTTGTTCTAGTTAACTTCATTATTTAAATTAATTATTCGTTAAATGACATTCTAAAAATTATATTTTAAGAAAGTCTTGATTTTTTTATAAAAGTTTAAAACCGAAACTTATCAATATCATATAAAAAATTAGTATTTTAATTACTTAGTTAATTATACATATTTAAAGAGCTCGTTTCGCAAGTGCGACTTCCGTAAGCGCTACTTTCGTATGTAGCAAAATAGTTTTATTTCGTCAGGGTTAGGGTTGCGAAAGGGTACATTTCGTAAACTTGCGAGAGGCTACATTTCGTAAGTAGCATTTCTGAAATGAACATCAACAGGTTTTTTTGTTTCTTTAAATTCGGTACGAAAAAAAAAATTCCTGATTCTCAATATCCTTCCGAAAGAATTTTTTTTTTCGGATTTGTACAAAATCTTCCGGTTAACAACTTTAGTATAGAAAGTTTTATTTGTAATGAAGTAACGTCAAAATTGCGATTTCCAATCAGAATCCTCCGTGCGCAGCCCCCAAAATCTTTATCTTACTTAACTTTTAAAAAAATATATATATATAAGTTTAGACTGCATTTAAATATATAAAGTTCCAAAAATATGCATTTTTCAGTAGTTTTGATTGAAAAACATTTTTAGAAGTAAACAGATTTTCAGTGACAAGTGATAAATATGTTTTTGTTACTAATCTTATAATTTTACTTGGGTAAAAACCAAGTCATAACACAGTGGGTCAAGATCGACATAAAATGGACAAAAAATCATGCTGGATAATCAGTAGTTTGTATCCTACAACGACGTATGCATAAATTTTTTATTTTCCTTATTTCATTATAAGGTGGATAAAAAATTTTTCCTTTAGAAACTGCTCCAACATGAATTGCTTGGTAATTGGCTTTACTAAGTCGGCAGCCTAAAATCGATTAAAAAAAGTGAGTAAAACAGTTTCTCTTTTCCGACAGCAATGTTTGTTTTTTCTGCTTTCCTCTTCTTTGTTTTTTCAGAATCTTGGGTGAATGGTACGGAATTAGCACCTGGTGGTCTTCCGTAGACAACTAATTTAAATTAAAATATCAAATAATTGTATTTATTATAAACACTTACTAAAACACAATTAAATAGAAAAAAATATCATAAGTTCATTACTTTAATTTTTATGAAATATTAAACCTAAATTGTGAGAAGAAGTAGGAAAAGCCAAGCCCGAGTTTTGGTCCTTGTCTACCCTACGGGCATTTGTTTTTAAAAGTTACGTTCTAAATATATTTTAAATGTCTTTTAAACGTCTTTTAAATATTCTTAAGTAAAACACGTTTAAAAAACGTTTAAATGACATTTAGAACGTAACTTTTAAAAACAAATGCCCGTTGGGTAGTTAATATGTTTCAAAGCATGCATCTGTTGATTGTAGTTCTTTTTCTAACCAGATTTTGTAATGCAACTTAAATCTATCTTTGTGTCTGTTTACTTTATTCCTTTTTTTGTTAGAAAATAATTTGAAGTCTATGTCAGAAATCCATGTAACTTTATAAGCATCAGGGTCGGTAGCCGATGACCTAAATTTTAAAATTCTTTTCCATAAGGCCATAATAGTAATTGCAATTAAGGAGGCAATTCCTTATATATATATATATATATATATATATATATATATATATATATATATATATATATATATATATATATATATATATATATATATATATATATATATATATATATATATATATATATATATATATATATATATATATATATATAACTTTCATTTCAATAAATTGAGGCTTGGTATGAGTAAATCGATCCTTAAAATTAATAAGGCGTGCAACATGTTTCTGTTGACGATAAAGAGGTTCCAGTTTACTTTTATTAGTACTACCCCACGCAATATTCGCATAGTTTATGTGACAATGAATGGGCGAATAGTATAGTTGAAGTAATCTATTTTTATTTAAAAAACTCCTTGCTTTGTATAAAACTCCAATGCTTTTTGATATTTTACTACTCAAATTTTTTATGTGACTTTTCCATGACAAATTTTCATCAGTATAAATACCAAGAAAGATGGTAACTGTTAATTTTTTTTTAGAAGTATGTTATCAATAAAAAGCTGTGGCATGTCATTTAGTATAAGATTTTTTTTGTGATTTGGATGGAAAAAAAGGCATTTCGTTTTATCAATATTAAGAGACAGTTTATCTGTCTTAAATGAATCAGAAACTCTTACTAGTTGATTAAATTTGAGGCTTTATGGAGATAGTTGATGTAAATAAGAAAAAGAAGAGACCCTAATATTGATCCCTGAGGAACTCCACAGGTTAAATCAAGTAAGTTTACTGGTGAAACTACATCAACGTATACAAATTGCTTTCGATTATTTAAATAGCTTTTTAACCAATTTAAAACACTTCCGTTTATACCGTAAAAATTTAGTTTATTTAAAAGAATATTGTGGTCTATGGTATGGTCGATAAAAATCCCAACTGTATATTGGGAGTTTTCAAAAGAGTTAGTAATACTTCTCGTAAACTGGAGAGCTGCGTGTTCTGTCAAGTAATTTTTTTTGAATCCATATTGATTGCTTTTATATTGATTTACAGATAAATAATCATAAAATCTGTTGTTTAAAAATCTCTCCAAGACTTTTGAAAATGCAGATAGAATAGAAATGAGATGATAGTTGCTAACTTTAGTTAAATTACCTACCTACATTTAAATTTTCCAAATAAAAAATATTTTTAGGGGTGTCACAAGATCTTTAAACATCAAATAGGTTCTTAATATTATTAAAAAAAATGTTTTTTCAAAAGTCTGTTATATTGGGTCTCAAATGAAGGGAAGTTTTATAAAAAATTTAAAAATAATCATTATTCTTTAAAAGAAATTAAGAAAAAAATTTATAATTAAGAAAATCTTGTTGAATTCCCTTTTCTCGTTTTAAGTTAAAAAAATATCATTTTCTTTTTACTAAAACCTAAATAAGTAATTTATTTTTAAAATGATTCGCATTTTTGAAAATTTAATATCATTTTGCTTCTTTTGAAACCCAACATGATATACTTTTGAAGATTTTTTTGATAATATTAGAGACCTGTTTAATGTTTAACGGTCTTGTGGCACCGCTAAAAACATTATTTTTTCAAAAAAATTTTAAATCCCATATTACTTTATTATATAAAAAACGTTTAGAGGGTTTCAGCAAAATTTTCAATAAAAGTTGTTTTGAGCACTACCCTAATATATATATATATATATATATATATATATATATATATATATATATATATATATATATATATATATATATATATATATATATATATATATATATATATATATATATATATATATATATATATATATATATATAGAGTACATATCAGTGTTATAATTTCTTGCATGAAAAATTTGATTAATTTTTGTGCAAACAACTATTTATGAAAGTTAAAAGAAAATGTAAAATAATAGAGAAATTAACTCAAGAAAGGATTTACTTTTTACTTGGTTATTTAAATATGTAAATAATTCTTTTCTCATAATCATGGTAAATTTTTTTAAAGTAAAAGATAAAAATAATTAAAACTAAATTGACTTTTGAGTAATT